AACTAATCATTAATTAGCATGAGGCTGCTAGTATCCAGCTGGAGGACTTCTTGTTTTTCCTCACGTCCAAATTTGCCTAAGTAAATAATAAGCAATGGTGTATAGTACTCTCCAAGTCACTTAGAGCAACCCACTGAGATGTCTGATGGGATCGTCAGCTAACAAGGAGCAGCAAGGTTGCTCGGAGCCAGCTGAGGATCTGGCCCAGCACATTTTTCATGGCACAACACTTTATTTTAATCAGCTTTTTCCCCTTCCTAATCTTCTGCGAAGCCTGGGGGTGCGGGGGGAAGCTACCCGAAATGTGTGCTTTCCCTGACCAGCAGCTGTAATACCCTGATTACATGTCGAGCTCGCTTTGTGCTCAGGGTTGTGGTGGCGTTCCCTTACATGTTCATGGCCTCATCAAACTATTCCTACGGCTCTACGGCAAGACATAAATTCTGGAGATTTCAGACTTGGAGACTTCAAAGTCTTGCTGAACCACATGGAAATGATTCTCAGAGCTACAGCTATAAAAATAATTACATTGCTCGGGGGGAAAAGTGACAAGAAATGTCCCCAAAAGAGATTTCAGTGGTGGTTACAAGATCTGTCCCGGCTCTGTAAGAGGCTTCTGTGATCTCCAAGGCTAATTTATCACCGCTACCTATAAGGCTATGAAATATGCCCCAAAAAGCACTGAAGGAAGGAATGTGAAGGGAGGTTGCAAAAGAGAAGCGTTGCAATCTTCCCCTTTGTTTTAATGAGCATACTTTGTATGATCTTAAAATTAGAGCTACTCTGCACAGATGACTGGTGTGAGGATGACTAATTTGGAGACAAATTAGGCCTACTTAACTGAAATGTATGCCTTGACTGTTCCCTTAATGACCCTTCAATGCACATCTCTCCCGATAGGACTTTTACCGCAGCCCTGGCTCCGGCGGATTAAGTAATAACATGCTTTTGCTGCTCTCCTAAGCGGTCCTTCGGTTTTGATCCAACATTTTCCTTTCACCATGTTTGTGTCTAATTCTCTATGATTGGTAATAAGTTTATATCCATCTAGCCCATGGCAGATTTGTCTTCTGCATGTCTCCTTCTCTGGAGCATTTTCCTTGCACCCTCTCTTTCAAAGGCCTCTGAGCCTGAGTGTTTTCTGGCTGACGGCAGAGTATTTGGTGTCTGCTGTGTAACAGATTTATTCTTTCCCAAGAAAAGACACGAACGTAAACAGAAGATCCAAAATGCATTTTGCTGGGCTTTTAAATGCACTAAGATGAAAACCCCCTGCTACAAGCCTATTAATGTAAATACCAAACTTTACAATCCTTCCTGTCAAGGAAACATATTTACATTTTTCTAAGGATGCGTATTAAAAAAATAGGGCTTTTGGGACAAAAAGGGCTTAGTTCCAGTGTCACAACACCCCCAGTTAACTGTACTGCTCTCATAAACTATAGAATTAGGTTGTTCCCAGGGCCAGCAGAGATAACATCTGTTTGCTTCTTTAAGGACAAAATGAAATAGGATGCTAGCATTTTATACTGGAAACAGTCCTGGAAGTCTTGAAGGGGCAATGGTAAGAGGGCTGCGTATCACACACACGTTGCATGCAGCTTCCCCAGCACAAAAAAGACGGGAAAGGTGTTGTTAGTGCCAGTGCTGCCCAGGGGAGGCAAAGGGCTCATCCCAAGCCCTACTGCAGTGACTGGGAAGAAGTGGTTTGCTGGCAGACTGGTCTTACCGGGATAAGGGTTAGGGCTATGGGTTAGGGCTACATCGTCCTTTAAACTTTATTGATGCTCCTGACATACCGGTTGGACAGTATTTTTCCTACTAAATGGAATAACAGAAAATATTTTCTTTCTCCTGATTTTTTTGCAGTTTGAAGAGCATCTTGAACATGTTGAAGGAAAAAGAGAAAGGTGGCTGTAAGAGAAAGGGCACAGGTGCTGGCAATGAGGATGGGGAGATTTGGGGGAGGAAGGCTCAGCTTAGCATGTCTGTTGAAACATCCTATTGCGCTAATTGAAGTGCAAAGCTGTGCCTGCTTCTCTTGAAACTACTGGAGTAAGTTGTCTGTAATTACACGGAGCAGAACAGGAAAACCTCTCGTGGCCAGAGGAACGAGCAGCAGTGACCTGCTGGCGTTTGCAAAGGCCAGGTGGCATTCTACCAGTTCCCAAGGCTCTGATTTTCTAATCAAAAAGCTCCTCTGATTTTTTTGCAGCTGAAGGGGAATGACCATTCTTCCAAGGAGAAACCTTTCCTTGCCTATATCTACCCAAAACCCAGGGAAAAGGGAGGATGGCTGTGGCAATCCAGCCCAAATAGAGCTCACCCCTTCATGCTCACCCAACATTTGCAGAGCTTGCTACTCCCTAAGAAAGGCAGGAGCCTACCCCAAATTCAGATAGCTATTTCTTAAGGGGGTTTTTTTGCCATCAAGACTGCAAAGGCTGCTCCCCTGTTATGCATAAAAACTCCTCTGGCTGGGACAGACCCAGGCACAAGTCTGTGACACGCCACCCAGCTAAGTTTGCCCATTTTAAAGGGTTTCTTGTCATTTAAAGGGATCTTGTCATTTATTTTTTTTTGCTGGCAGATGTAATTTTTGTCACCATAAACGATAGAATTTGACACCGCACCACACCAGGCCATTTGTCAACAACATTTTCAACAGTTCAACCGCACGCGTGTGCATGCACACACAGGCACAAAAAGGAGAGGCAAGGGGGGAAAGTCCGGGGGCTCGGGGAACAGGCGACCTTCCTCTATAGGGGACACATACGCAGAGCAAAAAGCCACCTCTAGCCACTGGGCTGGAAGTTGGGTTATGGCAAAGATGCCAAATACTGATTCACTCTGAAGCCACCTGAAAATGCATTGGGGTTTGGCTCTGCATCATGGTTTTTCACACAATCCAAAATGTTGCTCACAATTTCTTTTAGGTAGGGACAATCTGAGCATCTACATATAAAATCCGCCTCGTCAGAGCAATGTTAACAATAATTCAACCGAGAGCAATTTTTAAATATGGTTTAAAAAAAGCAGGTTTTGTTGCTGAAGTACTGTGTGATAGAGAGGAATGGTTGTATATTAGATAACAGTTTTAAAAACATCATTGGCTAATGGCAGCACATCATTTGGGAAACAACAGAATAAATGCATTGTTCCATCCCAGCACTTTACTATTCAGCCAATCTAAACTGCTGAAGAAATATGTGTTTGAGACATTTTACATCTGTTTTTGACAAGAAGCCTGGATTTTTGCATGTGGGTTTTTTTAATCTATTTGCTGCAGCTTTTTTAGCCAGATTAGCATGGGAAAAGGCACTCTGTTTTATAAACGGAGGGTTTATCCTTTTAAAAAGTGATTTGACTTTGGCTTTTTGCAGTTGAAATTAGGGCACAGCATGCAAAAAATAGTAAAACCAGCAATAGCCATAAAACCCACGACAGCAATGTTACCTATTTAAACAAAACTAAACAACAGGCAGCTTGTGCAATGGATAGAGTAACCAATTTTTGAACAGCCTAACATTTTGGGGGCTCCCTAGAAGAGCATGTGGAAACCCTAATTGCAGCACCAAAATGCAAACCATTTCAGGACACGAGTAAAACTTTTACTTGAAGTGGTTTCTAAAATAGTTTTAAGTCTGCATTTTACACCATTAGTAAGCCCTGCTTGAACACTTTTTGGCTTTTTCAAACAAAGTGCTGTAGTTGCATCAAGGGTTTTTTAAATGAGCCATTTATTGCTGCTAAAACAAAGATGGATTTGCCTCTTTAAAAAAGCCTAGCCAATGGGCTGGGATAAATTTTCTTTTAATCTTTAAGGAGCTGATTCTCTGCATGATGAAATTATTTCATTTTACATCATGTGCGACGTTACAAGTGGGGGGGGCGCAAATTTCCCTTTTGAATGTTTGCTGAGCGAAATGGGTTCGTGGGCTCTGCTTTATGTACCGAGCCCCAGAGAGTGACCGGCCGTATGCAAACTCCGGCTGACAAAACGCAGAGCTGCTCTGCTTAATTAGCTCGAGATGAAGGTGTTATTAAGGGCCTTTTCTTTCTCCTTTCTTACTGTTTATTCCTCCCTCCCCAAATATTACAAAGGCAACTTAAGAGGAAGTAGTTTTCTGCTAATGGAAAATGATGAGGAAGGGTTAGTGATGAGAGTAAATAAGAAACTACATCTAACACCAACCTTTGCTTTACTGGCACTTTGGGGAAGGGAACCAAACAAATACGAAAATTTGGCAAAGTTTATTCTATCTTTGTTTGCTTTTTATTGTGTGAGGGGGAAGGGGCACAGCCCAGGGTTGCAGCCGACATCTGCTGCTTGTTTCTTTTAAGAGAAACACAACCTGGGGCAAACTCGTTGCCAAACCCCGCTTGGATCCTGCAGACCCCCCGGTCCCCCTGGCCAGGAGAGGATCCCGCTAGGCTGCGGCTGCCCTGGGACCACCGGCTTGGCACTGCGTTTTTTGGGCGCAGGCGCCTGTGGAGTGGGGCGGCAGCTGTTTCGGATCCCCTTGTCAGCCTGTTGTACTGATCGCCTTTTCCTCTCTTAAAACCCTTCCCCGAAGCAGCGCTTTCTGGCAAATCTCATGCAGCGATGGTTTCCTCCCTGTCCCTCAACAGCCAGCTCTCAACGCCAGTCCCCTCTCAGCTCCCCCATCCCTGCAGAGCAGAAACATGCTGATTTTGTTTCAAAAATGGGGCATATCTCATTTTTGCCTGCCTGGAATTTTCTTTTTTTTTGAATTTTTGCAGTCGTGGGAGAGCGGGAGGGAGCCGGACACATCTATGCTGCCCGTCTCACCTCCGGGTTGGTGGCTTCAAACCCCTCACCCAGCAGCATCCCTGTGCCCCACCAAGCCATGCCACCTCTCCCTGGGCAGGACCAAGCCCCGTGGCAAAGCCAGGCTGGTGAAGGGAGCCACGGGAGCCCCATCCTGCAGCCAGATGGACACAGAGCATCATCCAGGAGAAGAGAAATCGGTACCTACCCCTTCGGCAGCTGGGCTCGCCTGGCCCGGGCGGTGGCTAGTGGGAGGCTGACATGGACCACGCTCCCTCCATCCTCCATACGGAGAAGGCATAACTCAGCCTCTCGTGAGCCACGTAACTGCAGCTCGTCATCTTACTGTCCATCTCGTCGCTCTGTAGCACCTGGTAGAGGAAGTCTATATACCGCGCCGCCAGCTTGAGGGTCTGGATTTTACTGAGTTTGTCAGAGGGCAAAGTGGGGATGATTTTCCTCAAGGCAGCAAAAGCTTCATTGAGCGACTGAGTCCTCTGCCTCTCTCTGACATTGGCCAGGATCCTCTGGCTCTGCAGTTCTTCATAAGATTGGGAGCTGGGACTGGACTTTTTCCCCCTCTTCCCTGGGTTAGGGCTGCCATCTTCGCTGGACTTCTTACTGTATCTTCTCTTCCTGCCAAATCTCTTTGGCTGCCTTTCCAGCTCCTCTTCACTGGTCCCCAAGCTATCCACAGGGGAAACAGGAGAACTGGAGCTTTCTTCCATGCTTTCTGCAAGAAGGGGAGGGGAAGAGACTTTCCCCCCCTCCTTATGTTATGTGAGCGTGTGTGTGTCTTAAATGTGCTTTAAATTCCTGAGACAGATCCTTTGGAAAAACAGGAGGGCTTTTTTTTTTTTTTTTTTTTTGCTGACCAAACGTTTTCCAGGTTGCTTGAAGGGCTCTTATTTCAAGGACCGGGGTTGTGCAAAAAATTGAGGTCTTGGAGAGAGGAAGTTATTCTAACTTTTTGGAAACTTTAGCTGAGCTCAGTTGCTAAATAGTTGTCAGAAGTGAGGGAGGTGCGGGGCTCCCTTCTGATTGGCCAGCCAGGTCAGTGGGAGGAAAGCTTTTCCCCTGCTAAACTTTCACAGTTTTATGTTACACTTAACTAAAATCTTGGGAATGCACCTCGAATAAAAGATAGCTGGCGACCATCCCCCTGTCACCACCACCACCATAGATGCTGAATTTGCAGCACCCCTCCAGGGTAACCTCCCTGACAGGGTTTTTTGGGGTGCGGGACTGCTTGCTGAGTGCTTTGCAGGCTGCCTCCCAGCCCATGCTGCTGAGGGTCCCGCTCCCAGCTCCATGGCTAGGCTGCAGTGGTACCTTACCCAAAACAGGGTGCAGGGTGTGTGAGCCCTTGCACGCTTGAGAAGGTGCCACATTTTTGCAAAATGGTGCCTTATTTTGCACTCCCTGGTGCTTGGGGGTGTTGCAAACCCCCTGCTGCCCTCTTTGCGAGCTGCCCCTTACAGCACTCTGCTCCCCCCACTGCTAGCCCTGCAGACCTGCCTCCCGGTCCCATGGGGTGACCTTGGGGCAGAAGTCCCCTGGGGCACGCTGAGCTGCAGGAAGGGTAGAGGTTTGGGGGCAGCCGGGGGAAGCCCCTTCAAGCCCCCTACTTGTGGGGGGCATGCAAAAACCCTCCTGGACTAACCCAGTGGAGCCCAAAATATGGGTCATCTGGAAAGCAGCTAATAGTTTGTAGAAAACCCCATGGAGAGTACCCCAGAGAGGCGATGCTGGCCATGCAGCCCATCTGCATGCCATTTTTCTCCCTGCTTTTCCCCCCCCCTGTTAAATACTAAATAATACTTTTTGGGGAAGCAGCAGCTGAGGTAGGTAGGAGGACATCTTTTCCTCCAGAATTTCCTGCTGTTGAAATAGTGGTATCCCAGTGCATAAAAACTGTGGTAGCAGCTCCAGGGTTTCTGATGTATCAAACAGAAGAGGATGGATCTATTTTTCCCACATTTTCCCTGGTGTGATGGAGAGGAAAACTCTGCTTGCTTCCGTGGAGCTAAGGCAGAACAAAATCAGATTTGGACCTCTGATTTCAGTTACAGCCTAAATTGCGGGAACAGATGCATTCCTGAGCAGCAAAGATCATGTTTTCAATACAGAGCAGGAAAATGAAATAAAACAATAATAATAAAAACAAGACAAAAAAACCTCCTAAAATGTAGATGTTGTATCAGAAGAATTGGAGTGGATTTCTTTGCAAAGTTTTCCAGTAGGTATCAACACTCACTAATGGAAAAAATAATGTCTGGTTTGATTGGAAAGTGTTCCTTGGTAGGAGAAGGAATTTTGGCTTGCCTGGGGCTGACTCCACTACTGGTAGGTAATGTTTATAGTGGAAAGACTTCCCCAGGCAGCCCCTGGGGAGAGCCTGTGTTTGCTTTCAAAAGGAAAGGTTTTCAGGTGCAGCACAGAAGTCGGAAAGCAAGGCAGTTCTGCAAATAGATTTTTAATCCAATTTAAGACCCTGGCGAGTCGGATAGGACGGGTGCCTCTGCCACTCACACCCCAAAGCCAGGTTTCCAGAAGGGCTCAGGGCTGGCGGCTGGGGCCGAGGATTGACAACTGCTCTGCATCTGCAACCTGGAGGTCCATGAGTACAGGGGGCTGGGATGGTGTCTGCCAGCCCCACAGACCCGAAGGTAGATACCACACCCGGCTGGGTTAGGGCAAATGACATTTATATTGGGGAAACCTGAGTGACGGCCCCTTGCCTGTCCCCTAAGTGAAATAAACTGGTGTTGATAGTGGTGCCAATGTGAAACTGTGCCTCGGAGGGCAAAACACCCCTTGTAAGGGGTATTTGATTTGTATTTCCAAGTACTAAGAGAAACAATCACTGAAGACTGGAGGGGCACTTCTGCTTTCCGGCTGCAAAAAACATGGTTTTCCCAGCATACAGGTTCCCTGCTAACAGCACTGGCTCCTCCATGTGCTCGCAATGCATTTACGGTGGTAAGCCGTTGTGGATTTGCACGGATGCATGGAGCATGGGAGGGCAGTTGGGCTGCAGGGCTGAGCACCCGGTGTGCGCTGCCCAAAGGTGCTATAGGTGCCTGCAAAAGGCTGCTTGGGGAGGGAGCAGGGCTGCATTTTGGTCTGTGTTTGAGACCACCAGGAGCAAGGGAAGCAGACCTGAGCTTGCGAGAGTGAACAGAGCTGCTTATTGCTGCCTCACCTCTCCCCCTGCCCTGCTGACATGTGTGTTAATACATATTTGGCATCTTCCTTTTGCCCTGCCATGACCACCGAAGGCAGGACTTGATATCCTGGGGAGTGAGGTGTTTCCATGGGGTGGGACTTGATCCTTCCAGGGGTTTGGGACAGAGGGGTTTTGGGGGCAGACTGTGTGGATGTATCTCAAAATGCCCAATTCTTAGCTGGCACAGGCTTTTTGCCTTTGCAGTAACCACCGGGCCCATCCCATACAAGCACTGCAGGAGACATGCAGCTCCTGGGCATCATGCTGGAGCCACAGTGGCAAAAGGATGCGGCTGCGTGGCGTAGTCCTGGTCTAGCCGAGCAGCTGCTGCTCCTCATGCTCTCTGCTGTGCCTCTCCAGGCTGTACGGCACAGAGCAGCAGCAGGCTCCCGCAGCAGAGCAGCCCCTCGCTCCTCCACACACCATGGCTATATTAAATAAATAAATGAACAGCCCCAGACTCCTGCCTGGCTTCTGCGAACAAGCCTGAAGTAGTGTTTGCACGACAAAGCGAGGCAGGATTTCTCCCTAAGGGGGCTGTTGCTGTGCATAACCTCTAAATATGCAAAGCTTTTTACTATCAGGCAGGCTTCATTAGGAGAAATTTATGGTGAAACACGGCTGTGTCATAATTATGAAGTCTATAAGCCCGGCTTCAACAAGCATCGCTTCAGAGCTGCTGTGTATGCGTGTACTCTTTACGGCCACTGAGTCCCCTAGCAGTACTTAGTGCCAGAGCTAAGTACAGTGTTGACAATACTGCAGATATCTTCCCTTGGAGCAGACCAAAGGCACGGTCTACGTGTGCGCAGACCTGGGTGAAATGTGATCTGGCTCTCCTGAAGGAAGAGGGAGTTTGAGAGGTTTGTGGGGGTGCCACGTCATACAAAGGTACAGCTGGCCAAGGGGGATGAGGTGGATGCATCCTTCCTGCTACCACAGCAGGGTGGGAAAGAGGTTATGAAATAAAAACTGTGATATAAAAAATAGTTGTGGTGAAAGTTTAATGCCCTGTTTAAATGTGACATCTACTATGCTGCTGCTGCTGCTCCACTGCTATTACCAGGCTCCTAAAATTTCTAAATTCAAGGAAAACAATGAATACAGACTAAGCTTTGGGGGCAGTGTTTATTCTCCATAGGAAGCCTGTGGTCCATGTGTCCCCCTGGCAGGGCTTGGCCAGCAAATCACCCTTCAGCCCCTCTGCTTTGCAGAGGAGAGTGTTTGGATTTCTGCCTCCTGCCACCCTTCCCTCTGCCCGCAGTAGGAAGCGGGGAAAGGTTGGGTGCCCTGGCAGTAAAGGCGATAGCATTTCAACATGCTCAGACTGCTCTTCCAGCTCCTCTCTGTTGGGGGAGCTGCCAGGGACAGAAATTTTTTGAGCAAACTGAAAGGAGAAAGATGCTGCTGTACTTACTGCTGTCCTCCTCCTCACTACCTGCTGCTATAGAAAAAAGCATCACCTCTTCTTTCAGAAATTACCCTGTTGCAAATTGCATCCATCATTGAATGGCCTCTACTGTAGCCAGGTGTTGTCAAGGTGATTGTTTTTTCCCCTTACCTACCTTTGGTGTGACTTAGGGGATGCACTAGTGTGTGCATCTTCCACATGCTGTCTTTGCAAAGGCAGTCACGTTTCACCTTGCACTTCTGCTTTGTGGGCTTTGTTTCCTTATTCCTTGTGCTGCACCGCAGCAGTGGCCAGACATGGCAGACGGATGTTTCCCAAAGCATTCACCCTGCAGTGACAAGTTTATAATCAAATGCAAAGGAGCAGCAAGTGAGCAGCGCAGATAAGAGGCAGGAGGTAAGGAGAGCGAGGCTTTAGGGATAAGACAGTTGGAGCAGAGCACAGTTTCAAAGTAATTGGATATGCTAACGTCGGAGTTTTCTGCAGGAATGTACATCTGTTTCTGAACTGTTACCAGCTGATGTGCCCGCTCTTTCTTTCTGCTTCCTCAGTTATAAACCCTTAGAGCAGCAGACACAAGTGAAAGAGAGGCTGACCAGGGGACAGTGAGTCCTATTGTTTGCTAATCCTGCCAATAAATGCAGTCAAGGTCAAGGCATACTTTTGATTTGCAAAGGCATTGCTGGGGCAGCTGGGTGTGCCGATGCCTGTCCCATGGAGAGCAAGATGGCAGCTTCTCCCCATGCATGGTTCAATGACTCCAGCTGGCTTCCTCAATTTTGTGCTTGAGGATGTGGGAAATATGGACCTTTTTAGGGAAGACTTAACAGAAGAATGACAGAAAAAAGAGAAGGGAAGGACTTAGAGACGTCCACTGGGAAAATATCTTTCTCCTGAGAAAGCCCCACAGGCCATTTGTCCATCTCCTTTATGAAGCTGGCAGCTCCAGCCAAGCTTTGACCATGCAAGGTGTGAATTGAAAGAGCCATTTTTCCAGAGCTTGCTTTATTTGCTGTGTATAACATCAGGACAAACTATCTACAGTGTAATAATCACAAATGCAAATCATAATTAGTTTTCAAAAAATA